CACACCAGACACACACCATACCCAACGCAAACGAAACACACATACAACGCACCTAATACACATAACAAGCATAACGCACATAACCCACATATAACTCACACATAGCACGCACACGCACAACGCAGAACACGCACACACACAAAACAAAAAAAACACAACACATACAATACACACACACACACCTTACACCATTCACACACACACACATCCTGCACATGTGTTTGTATGAGCCTGGGCACGCACGTGCCGCTTGCATAGATCCCCCACCGTGCCCCCTGGCACATTGAATCGTGGTAGAATGCAGAAAGCTGTCTGGCAGGATCTCTGTAGTCTTCCGAGAGCCTCCCCCTCTACTAGCGTCTGGTGACTTTCACCACCGTCCCCTCCCGAGACCACCATCCTTAGCAAAACGCTATGGATCCGAGCTTCCAAGACGGCCTGGGCAGGCAATCAAGGCAACCAATACGACCCAAGATGCTGCGAAGATGGCTCAAGATGGCCCCAAGGCGGCCCAATATGGCCTCAAGACGGGTGGTTCTTATGGCCCAAGACGGCCCAAGAAGCCTCCAAGATGGCCCCAAGATGATCCAAGAGGCCCCCAAGATGGCCCAAGAGGCCCTCAAGATAGCCCACGAGGCATCAACTACGGCCCCAAGACGGCCCCAGAGAGCGTCCGAAGGCACTCACGACGGCCTGAGAACGCCCTTCGACGGCCCAAGACTGCGGTAAGACAACCCAGCGGCGGCCCCCAGGCACCCCCCCCCTTACTACCAGGAGGGCCCAAAGACGGCCCAAGAGAGCCCCAAGACGGCCTATGAGGGCCCCCGGACGGCCCCAGGGGACCCCGAAGACTGCCCCACAGAAAACCAAGACAGTCCCAAGACAGCCAAAACGAGCCCCATGAAAGCTCACCAAGAAGTGAGGACGACATGTGTCACATGTGACAGTCTTCATCTTCCTCCTCCTCCTCCTCATCCTCCTCATCGTGGTTCTTCTCCTCCTCCTCCTCCGTCCCCTACTCCTCGTCATCATCATCGTCATCCTCATCACACTCATGATCCTCATCATCGTGCTACGGCTCTTCGGAGCCTGGGGACACGAGGTGTCACGCGTGACGGCCTCCCGTGCCCCCTCGAACAGTCACCACCCCAAATGCTGGGCTGGCATGATGGCGGGACCTACTGGATGCAGCTGGATGTGTCGTACGCATTCACTTCATGATCGCACAGAAGACTTAGGGCCAACACATCTGCGGCGAACTTCGGACCTGCCAGCGTGGGGTGGCGCTTTGGATATGGTTACTGAAACCTGCACCACTACACAACTACACCATTTGGCAAATTTGTGCAAACAGTGCACCACTCCACCATTGATCAACGTTATGCAAGGGTGTACGCGTTACACTATTACACCATTATGCCACGTTGTTGGATGGTGCCTGCGCTACACCAGTACACGGTTATGCACAACATGTACTACGCAGTATACCAGTTTACAATTACACACGTCTGTGGAAGGGCGTACGTCTTACACCACTACACCGTTACACCAGCACGCCATTACTTCACCAGGTGTATACATGTGAGCAAAATCGTGCTCGCAGGTGCACCATATTAATCTCTTAAGGATTCTTAGGGGGAAACTTCAAAATCGCATTCGGCGCCCTCAAGATGGCTCAGAGATCGTCGGAAACTGCTTCCACATGGCACAACCAATTCTGAACACGGCCGAACAAATCTCTAGTAGTACGTTGTATTCCACTGTGATGTATGATAGGATCTAGCGCGAAGGGCCACGTTGCATATCTGCAAGTAGGATCGTGCTCGCAATTGTAGTTTTGCCCCACCCCCGCCCCCTTTAGGATCCTTGCGGGAAGGGGGGGCGGAATCGCATTCTGCGCCCTCAAGAAGGCTCGGAGACTGCCAAAATTGAAGCCCAACGCGGTCCGACAACTCCCGGAGACGTCCTAGTACATCAAGAAAAGATCTAGCGCGAAGAGGCAGGTTGCGCATCTGCGATCAGGATCGTGCTCGCAAGTGCAATTTTGAAAACCACCCCTAAGGATCCTAAGGGGGGGTCACATCGCATTCTGCGCCCTCAAGAGGGGTCACAGACGGCCAGGAATGGCTTCCAAACGGCACAGGCATCTCCCAATGCGGCCCAACACATTCCTGGGAAGTCCTATAACACCATGACACGACCTAGCGCGAAGAGGCACGTTGCATATCTGCGGACAGGATCGTGCTCCCAAGTGCAGTTTTGACCCCTCCCCTCCTCCTTTAAGGATCCTTAGGGGGGAAGGGGAAGAGGGTAGGGAGGGGAAACGCTTTCTGCGCCCTACAGAGGATTCGGAGACGGCCAGAAATCGCGTCCAAACGGCACAGCCAATTCCGAAGACGGCCCAACAAGTCCTGGAGACGTCCTATTACACCATGACGCGATCTAGCGCGAAGATGCACGGTGTATACCGGCGAGCAGGATCGCGCTCGCAAGTACAGTCTTGACCCACCCCCCAAGGATCCTTAGGGGGGTAACAAGCACATTCTGCCATCCTCAAGAGGATTCAAGGACGGCTGGAAATGGTTCCGAGACGGCCCATCAAAACACCAAGACGGCAACCATACCAAATTTCTTCTATCTGAACCAGCTCGCTCCCCAAATGCATTACCATGTTTCCTGTCTCATCCTCCTTCCTCCATTACGTTCTTACATCCTTTCCCTTCTCACATCCCGCCTTTTCTCTGCCGTGCCTCCCCGTGGGTATGCCTCAAACCTCCTGCCTGGACGGGCTGCTGAAGTGTTTCTGGCCCCTCCCCCTGAAGATCCTTTGGGTGGGTTCACCCCTTCCCTCAGCAGACTGGTCCAGCCGGCGGTTGGCTGGACGGGCTGCTGAGTGTGGTTCGGACCCCCCCACCCCAAGGATCTTTAGGGAGGGTTATCGCCCCCCCCCCGCCCCCCCCCTCTCAGAAGCTTGATCCAGCCAACAAGACCGACCCCCCCCCCTCAGCAGTGCAACGCCCTAGAAGAAAGCTTGCACCGTTCCCGAGGATTATGTAATGGTGAAATGGTGCAATGCTTACAACGCTCCCCATTGGGCCCCATGGTGGTGTAAAGCTTTACCCAATCCTCCACATCTTGTAAGTGTGTAGTGGTGTAAACCGTACACCCTTCTCAAAATTGTATAACGGTGTAGTGGTGCAAACGTTACAAGAATTTCAGAATGGTGCAATGGTGAAGTGGTGTAATGGTGCGTGCACCATGTCCAAAATGGTGTAACGGTGTAACACACTGTTTCACAACATGGTGTAATGGTGTGGTGGTCAGATAACAAATCTTGATCCCTCCTCCAGGACCTCCAACCGAAAAGAAGGAGGAGGTAGAGGAGGACGTGAGAGGATGGTGTGAAACCATCCTGGCGAAGGATCCAAACATCTGCAGGTGTGAAAACTGTCGTTGCGGGTATTGCCCTCGGGGGCTCTCCTCATGGGCCGTGAAGCATGCGAAGCGTGTGCCGTTGTGGGACGGAGCCGCCATGTGGGCGCTGCCGCTGACCCCAAAGGCCGAGAAGTGCCAAACAACAACTCCCGTCGGGATTTTTCTCGCAACGCGAGGATGTCATCAGAGGGGGGGAACGAGCGGGCTTTTCTGGCCATGGCGAGCCTCGGCCACGAACGGGTTCCCCGAGCTATATCTAAGGAACGGCCAGGAAGCCAGAGACCCCCTGAACCCAAAGCGGTCCTTGTTTGAGCATCCTGACTGTAGGCTCTGTGGGGTGGGCTCCGGCTCCAGGAGGCTCCTGGGTTGGGGACGGGGGGGGGAGGGCGCTCCCGCGGCTGCAGGGAGATGACTGGAGAGTGGCACCACGCTCGGGCGCAGCGATGCTCTTCGTCAACTCGGGCCGTACATTGGGCCACGCTGCTCTCGTGACCTTGTCCCCTTAACGGGCTCGAGCCCTACGCCGATGGATGACTGCATGGGCCCCGGCGGGCGGTGGCTCCACAACACCGCCCAGACGGCACGGGCGGCGGTGCCCCTCTAGGGGACAGAAACGGTACCGATCATGAACTGTCGGTTCGCGCGGATCTCTCAGATCTGTGCTGAACCCCCCCTCCCTGGCGCAAGGATTCCACGGGCCAAGGAACCTTAGCAATGTCCCCGTTGCCAATGATGTGAAGTCCCCCAGGGCCATCCCCTGGTCACAAAAAAAAGCCGCGGCCTACACGCATCCCGTCCATCTGTTGCCTTATTCGCAGGCGCGGCTGGAATACCTTCTTCCCCAAACACCACACGGTGGTTAAAGTGCAGAGCAGCCGTGAGCCATAACTACCAATTGACTGAAGTGGCAGAGCACTTATCAAACAATCGATCCTTATCGGCGTGTCCCTAAGCTACGTCCTTAACATCTGCAGCCGTGCCTATCCTGCGGCTGGTGCCCTTGACGAAACGAAAACACACACACACGCACACACACACACACACCCTGCGATCATGCTAATACTGTCTACTCTCCCCAACTGTCACCGCCCACATTGCTGATTTGGGCGCTGAGATGTGCGAGAATCACGTGCTGCATTATATCATTCCCAAGTTGTTCGGCGGTCGTCTGATCTGGCACGCGCGTGCTGTATGCTACTCGCAAATCCGCGGCTCACCCAAACACCAACGTCGATATCACGTGCAGATTCCACCACCAACGACCTCGCACGCTGCGACCCTCCCTCCAATGGGCCCGCCTTTGGATGCCTGCGCCATACATGCTTGTGGTATCAACCCGGAGTTCAAGAAGTCCATACAATGAACATATCCACTGAACCTCCTCGCCCTCCGTCAACTCTGCTTCCTCCTAAGGAGGGGGAGGAGGAGAAGGAGGACCTCCTTCTCCTCCTCCCCCTCCTCGCACGTAACCGTTCTCCTCCTCCTCCTCCTCCTCCTCCTCTTCCTCCTCCTCCTCCTACGCATGCCCCTGTGCGAGCAGAGGCGCAGAAGATTTCAAGAAGGGCCTCCTGCCAAAGAACTGCTCCGCTTCCTCGTGGAGACGAACAACCTCCCGCAAAGGCTCAATCACGCTCCACGAGTCGATACGATGAGTCTGGATCTGATTGGAGGAGGACGACGGGGACAACGAGGATATCGCATTGAACCTATCTTTTGAAATGGAATCTGGCTGTGCTCCCGAAGGCGCATAGGCGCGACCCTAAACCAGAGCGGACAACATGACGACGCGCATAGAAGGAGCACGTGAACAGATAGCGGCAAAAAGGAAGCGAGGCACAAACAGGAGCTAGAACCCTCGAGTGACGATTCTCACTACTGTCGGCCTTGCGGGGGGAGGGGGGGCCAGCGCCGTGGATAGGGGAAGGGAACAAGAGGCATGTACAACTAATAGGGGCAGCAGCTCAATCCGAGTCACTACCAAGCTGACGCACCAAGGGTGAGAAGCAAGGGCAATAACAATATAATAAGAAGAAACAATGAGAAGACGGTTCATCCATAGCGCACACCGAATGCGAGGGGCTGGATGCTTATGCGCCTATTTTCAGGCGGCGCAGAGCGAAAACCCGAGAGTCTGGTCATCGCTGCCCTGGAAGACTTGCAGCACGGGCCCTGCAACACCCAAACAAGCGCAGAGCACGCCTCGACGCAGAAGGCAATATCCGGGTAAGCCCGGGCGCACCAAGTTGTCGGCGTGCACAAGGGGGTTTTGGAGGGAGGGTGGAGGGCGTCTCAGAAGGAGCCTGCTTCTCAGAAGGCGCCGGCCGCCCTCCCAAGAAACCAGAGGCGCCGCCGTTTCTTAGCAGCATAACAGCAGCTTTTGATAAGCACACAGCAGCTTCTGACAATCACGGAGCAGCTTCCCAGAAGCAAGCCAGCTGCTATTTAGGAACATGTCAGGAACAGCTTCTACTCAACAACCACCAGCTTCTTAGAAGGGGTAACGCGCTTTCTAAGAAGGGGGGCTGCTTCCAAGGAGCCCTCCCCCTCCCGCCACTCCCTTCTGCGCGTGGCTGGCCGAGTAAAAATGAGCCGCCGAGGGGCGGTCAACCGAATGGTGCCGAGACTGCGTAAACATCAAGATCATCAAGCTGTCCATGTATGAGACGCGCACGAATCAGGCAGAACACGCGCACTCACAATCACACATACACATACACACATGCTTCTCGCATCAGTTACCCAACATGAGTAATACGCATGTCCAGCCTTTGCATACGGAGCGATGCAGCCACTGAGACTGAAGAGCATAGCCACATCGCAAGGGCCACAACACGAGCTATGACCAGCGTGCCCTGGGGCTGCACACGCTCGCGTGCGCGCGCACACACACACAGACACACGCACGCACGCACGCACGCACGCACGCACGCACGCGCGCACGCACGCACGCACGCACGCACGCACGCACGCACGCACGCACGCACGCACGCACACACGCACGCACGCACACACACACACACACACACCACGCGCGCGCACGCACGCACGCACGCACGCACGCACGCAGACACGCACACACACACACTCACACACACACACTTTTGCGCACGCTACCTGGTGAGTGCCCATCCAAGCGGTCATGCTGCACTGTCCAACGAGAGAGTATATGGCCGCATCAAACCACATACACACAAGTCTTGATCTCGACGCCAGGGTTGACTCGCATCGCCGGCAGGGCGGGGGGCGACGATACAGCGGGTCACGATCCATACGCACCCGGCCGATCTCGATCGCGCCGAATGCAGGGAGGAAGCGAGGAGAAGCGAGAAGGGATGAAGTAAATGATCCTGGCGAAGGGCCCAGCCATATGCAGTGATGCAGTCATAAGGATCGTCTTCGCTGGTGCTCCCCATTGGGTCGAATAAACATGTGAGGGGTGGGCTGATATGGGCGGGGAACCGCATGCGAACCCTGCCACAGCGGCCTTCAGTTGAGCTCCCGATGAGGCCACGAGAAACGTGTGAGGGGTGTGCCGACATGGGCGGTGATCCGCATGCGAGGACGGCCACTGGGACATTAGGTGGTCGGTGGAGCTAGCTCCGTATGGGGCCATGAGACATGTGATTGGTGTGCCGAAATGGCAAGTGGACAATCCCACGGGGGCATTCGGTGGAATTCCCTATGGGGCCACGAAGCGTGCGAGACGTGTGCCGACATGGGCGGGGAACCGCATGTGGACGCTGCCGCCGGGGCCTTCGGTGGAGCTCCCTATGGGGCCACGAAACGTGCGACTGGTGTGCCGACATCGGCGGGGAGCCGCATGTGGACACTGCCACGGGGGCCTTCGGTGGAGCCCCCTATGGGGCCATGAAGCGTGCCTGGGGTGTGCCGAAATGGCCATGCGGAGGGCCAGAGGGAAGAGAAGGGATAATTCGTGGGTATTTCGTCGATTGTAGTGGACAGGTTGGCCGGCGCCCGCGGCGCGGAAGCCCCTCCCCTGGGCACGCCCCCTCTTCTCAAGGGGCTCCCGCTCGGGGTATGGGGCGGCGTCGGCCTCTCGCGCCGCAGCCAATGGCTGGGCGCGCCTGCAGGGCGCTGCAGTCTTCTCCCTGTCAGCTGCGCGCGGCAGGCCAAGTCCTCCTCGCAGCTGCGCCTGCGTTTCTTCTCGCGCGCGTGGCGCACTCACTTCCCGTGCAACCACTCGTTGGGACTGGGCACCGACGCGTCGCGGCCCTTGGCTCGACCCTTCTTGAACCGTTTGTCCGGCCACTGCTGGTGGCGGGCTTCTGCGCTGCAGCTGGCGGCGTTGGCCCTCGGCTTCTCCGCATGCCCGCGGCGCCGCTGCTTCGCATCCTCGCACGCTTCGTTCGGATGCTATGCACTGTAGTCGGTGGCGTCGTGCTGACTCCCCAGCCACGCTCGGGCGATGTCCGCCCGCGCAGCCCACGTCGCCCTACTGACGCACTTGACGGCCGACTGCTGCTGCCACCCGCTTGCCTTCTCGCACGCACCGCCCGCAGGTACGCAGTAGCAGATGGCATCTGGCTCCTTCGCCGTCGCCTCCGCCTCCTGCTGCCGCTGTCCCGCTGGCTCCTCGCATGCGCCTGCCTGATCCACGCGCTGTAACTGATCACGTGTCTCCGCTCCACCTTCCTTCGCGCTCTCCTGCCATTGCCCGCCCTTCTCACGCGTACAGCCCATTTCCTCTTGAGGCTGCCACTGCCCACCCTTCTCGCACACTCACCCTTGGAGCTGCCACTGCCCGACTTTCTCGCGCGCGCGCGCGCATCTCGCGGTAGCTGATGACGTCGGGCTCCTTCTGCGCCTCCTGTGGCCCAGCTTCTGCCTTCTCGCTCGCGCTCTGCCTCACGTCGCAGCGGGTGGTATTGGGTTGTACTTGGCTGCGGACGGCGACCACTTCCAGTGCCTGGTCGTAGACGTCCAAGAGGTAGATTGACGTCCCGCAACGGCACGTTGCGCCCACCTGCGCGAGGAAGCCACGCCTCCCCCGCGCAGCCACGAACGAACTGGCGGCCTTCCGCGGCTGACGGCGGCCAGGCTCAAACGCGGGCGCCTCGCGGTTCCACTCGAACGCCGAGTGCTGCTGCCACTGCCCTGCCTTCTCGCGCGAGCCGCCAGCAGGTACGCGGTAGCTGATGACATCGTGTTTCTTCTTCACCTCTGCCTCCCGCTGCCGTTGTGCTGTTGTCTTCTCGCACGCGCCGTCGGCGGGAACTCTTTGGCAGCTGATGACGTCGGGCTCCTTCTTCGCCCCTCCCCCTGCTGCCGCTGCCCTTCTTTCTCGCGCGCGCCTTCGGCAGGTTCACCTCGGCAGCTGATGACGTCGGACTCCTCCATCGCATCTGTCTCATGCCGTCTCCGCCCTGCTTTCCCCCGCGCGCGCCGTCACCGGTTTCACTTCGGCGGCTCTCTCCCTCCTACTGCCGCTGCCCTCTCTCGAATGCTCGCGCTCCCTTGCTGCGGCCGATGGCGTCGGGGTCCGAGTCGGACTCCGCCTTCGCCTCCCGCTCCCCGCTGCAGGTCGGCGGCGGCTCCTGGCCTTGTCTCGCATGCGCTGGTCGCGGCCTTACGGTTGGCGGCACCCGGCTCCAGCTTCGCCGCCCTCCTCTCGCAGTCGGGCTCCAGCCCTCGCCTTCGCCTCTGCTGTCTGCTGCCGCTGTCTTGCCTCCTCGCACTTCACGGCAGGCTTCCCACTGCTCTCGATGGCAGGCGGCTCCTCCTTCGCCTGCCGCTGCAGGAGCTCTGCTTTCCTCCTCCACTCCTCCACTTCCCTCTGAAGCCGTTGCGCCAGCCTGTCTGCGGTGGCGCGCGTGCCGGCGGCGCCTCGCAAAGGCTCCCGCCGCGTCGGCGGCGCCGGGGACGAGGACCCATCACAGCAGACTGGTTGGGAACAAACAATGGAGTGGGAGACCAGACCTTCAAGGGCGCCGGGCCACGGGCCTCGGGCCTGGGCGAAGGGCATCCGACATCGCAGATTTGAGGGTCCTGTCCGGGGGCCGTTGGTCAATGACCGGGGGAGGAGGGCGCGTCGATGCTGACCCGGATCGGCAAGCCCAAGAAGTTGTCGGCACCACGGTTTGCGGAGCCGCGCTCAGCCACACCGACGGAAGGACCCCTCCCGATGCCCCCCAGAGAGACAGACGAAGAACGATAAGCAGCATGGGATAAAGAAGCGTAACATGTGATCGCAGGAATAGACATACAAACGTATGTACATACATACGTACTAGAACCATCGCGCGCGCTTCGCGCGCGCTTGAGTTCTAGCTAACTTCTTGGGGGGGCCTCCTCGGAGCATCCTGGACTGCTTCTTGAAGTCGTCATGGGACCTTCTTGGCATGTCTTCGGGGGCCTCTTAGAAAGAGTTTTGAAGCCTTTTGGGTGCCGTCTTGGGGCCTCTTGGAGCCTCTTTGGGGCTTCTTGGGGGCCTTTTGGGCCTCTTGGGGGCCTCTTGGGGCTTCTTGGGGGCTTCTTGGGGGCCTCTTGGGGCCTCTTGGGGGCATCTTGGGGCGGAGAGCTTGATTATTCAGTTCGCGTTCCCTCTCTTGGGCCCCTCCTGGGGCCATCTTGGGACCCCCTTGCGCCGTC